TTACTTGATGTGTACTCCACCTCGCGATAGGTTAGGTGGTTGACCTCAACTGATAGGTTAGGTGGTTGACCTCTTGGGTTCCGACTGCACAGTTTCCATCTCTGATCTCAGGAAATGTAACAGAGCCTGCAAGACACACCTCTTCCTCTCCACTCTGACATTGTTTTGCCCTTGCTGGTTCCTGGGGTCAGCAAGCACTGAGTAAGATCAAACCTGACTCAAGTCTCGGCACCAAGATTCTTGAAGAAAGGGAACGAATATCCTTCCAAATGAGCATTTGTCAGGATAGGATTGCCTCAAGCGCTGATTTCTAGATCTGGCAAAAGTCTAAAAACAACACTGCGCTACCTCCAAGGACTTCATGATCAAAGCACTTCAACTCCAGTGGGTGATCTACTGTTGACAGACATAAAATTGAGCTATGTGTGGTACAGGCCTCTTTCCATTGTCCTAACCCTTTCCCTAGCTATCACAGGTGCTCAGTATTACATCCTTGTCCACCCATCCTTGTATGTTTTACAGTAACATGGTTAGGAAGCATGATTGTAATTGGGTTGTGGGAAAAGAAGAAGAAGAAAGATATTTGGACTAGAAACTGTTGGGATAGAAGAAAGTGTCTTCAAAGTCCATGTATTCCATTTCCTTGTAGCTTTTCTTTGAAGAGCCATCAGCCTGAGGACAGACCGTGTCGATCTCTTCTGAGAAATGTCTTCTGAGAAATCGGCTGGAATTGGGACTTAGAATCCAGGTTCCGTCACTGTGGAATTAAAAAGAAAACAAACTATTCCTGTTTTTTGATTGAAGGGGCGGCAACACCAGGTCCCCCTACAGGAAGTGTAATAGTTGCATACCTGTCAAGAGTAAGAAATCTTCCAGTGTCAGAAAACACTGTCAGCCCTCTTAGGGCAGGAGGGAACAGGTCCACAGGTCACGGCAAATAGAGGATGTTTTGCCTTGATATCAGTGTTGTGCGTCATGTTATTGTACCCTGTCATGGAGCACCCTTGTGAATAATGCACGATGACATAAAACTGGGCAACTGAGACCTAAGATTTTGGTGTGTGGTGCCAGCCTGAATGGCCAATTAGGAACTAGAAAGAACACCAAAGTCTCCAGACTCTGTAGAACCAATCACTTCAAAGGTTTCTTTACATTGTTTTTCACTATCAAGAACTTAGAAGTGCAAAGATAAGTATCACAAAATAATGTAGGGAAATTATATGACTGTACATCACTTAAGGCTTTACTCTGGGGGGTTTCTATTTGGGTTTAGCCTTCCTGCCAGTTAGGGAATTTACAAGTATTTCTAGAAAAAATGTATCCAGAGTACATAATACATGGTGTGCTGGCTGTGTGTGACTTGTAGTGTCAAGAAGATTTGAGCAAAACAGCCTGTTACTTCTTACCTCATGTTGCTGAAGGACTGTTCCATATTATCAAATCGAACCTTACAGTCTGGTCAAACCTTACAGCCTGTACAGCTTGTACAAGGTATACAAAATTAGTGTGTTACACCTAAAGGCAGTTTACCGATTATGCGAAATATATTTTGGGTAGGGTGAGGACAGTTTTGACTAGATACAGTTTGTGGCAGATTCAGCAGGTGCATGGACACCAGTTAAGGACAGCGACCCCCGAGAATGACACAGTTCTGAATCAGCTCTGGCAGTCTGGGGTGTCTTCCCTGCCCCAGGCCTGGCGTGATGCCTATGAAAACAATCTAAAGGCACTTTCATGTGTCTGAGGAAGAATATGTCACGATTTACCACCAGAATTTCAATGTTACTCAGGCATCACCGATTTAATTTCTTGGTTTTCAAATCTTTGACTTAACATGGAAAAATTAGGCAGAAAAAATTCTAAAAACAGGTTTGGGCAATTCTGTGCTATACTATCATTCCATGCATCCATTGAACTGAGCAATGAACTGAGAAGATATTTTTGTATTTTGGGGTTGGTGTGAGACCGTAATGTTGCATGTCATCTTTTTTCAAATTAAAAAAAATGTTCGTATTCTAGACAATAAAGAAGTCCAAATGACAGAATTTTCCTTATGAAGTGTAATGTGTAAAATATCAACAGAATTGCTAATATTCTTTGATATGCACGCTAGGAGGATAAATTGATTCAAGTTGCTTGTTACTTAGTTTTGACAAGTCGTATTTGACGGTAATTTGGAAGCAGGGCTTGGGTTGAGTGCTTCCAGGCCAGGCATATATCCTTTCCAAGAAGCATCATGAGCCATTACAGGTAACAAATGCCACAAATGGTTACAGCGAGCAGCTAATTATAGTTTTATTTGGCAGCTACCAAGGCAGGTGTAGCATTCAGGGATGTTCCTTGTTAAACTTGGGCGCATAAATGAGAACCATGTTTCAAACTTGTAAATAACAAGTTCACTAAGCCTTGTCCTCACTTGGGGTATCATTGGGACATACCAATTTGATTCGTTGGTTCTTTGATTTAAAAAAAAATACCCGACGGTAGACATTAGATTGCATTGAAGATATACCTGAATCTATACATGAAAACAGACTAAATGGTCCTAGGTCAGGTCCAGGCCCAGCTGGTGCAGTACAAGTTCTGAGGAAATTTACCCCATTAACATGAAAGTTTTTATCGCCCTGCAGCAAGTGTGGGCCACGTCTGTCGAAGGAAGCTGCGGAGAAGCTGAAGAACCGCTATGTGCTGATGCGGAATGGAGCTCGAGATCATGAGCGCGAGTCTGAGAAGAGGAATGCCATCCCCATCACTGTCAGGTGTGTATGGAGCCATTAACGTACCAGTAGAGCTGTGTACAGTGTGCCTGTAACTGTAACCCTGTTACAGGCTGTGTACAGTGTGCCTGTAACTGTAACCCTGTTACAGGCTGTGTACAGTGTGCCTGTAACTGTAACCCTGTTACAGGCTGTGTACAGTGTGCCTGTAACTGTAACCCTGTTACAGGCTGTGTACAGTGCCTGTAACTGTAACTCTGTTACAGGCTGTGTACAGTGTGCCTGTGGTGACTGAGGTTTGTAGATGTCAGTTAGCTGAGGAACGAATCCACTTTACTTTATACCCTATGAAAAAATGTAATCAGTTATTGTTTTCTCTGACTCCTTTTAATTCATACATACTCAGGCAACTTGAGGCCATCATTCGCATCTCGGAGGCGCAGGCCAAGATGCAGCTGTCACCGTTTGCGACCGAGGCTCACGTGGACGAGGCGCTGCGCCTGTTCCAGGTCTCCACCCTGGACGCTGCCATGTCAGGCGACCTGTCTGGTAATGCCGCAATCTTTTACCCTTTTTGTGCCAAGTTTTGAGCAGGACTGATAAAGGAATGTAGTTATCAAGGACAATAGGGATATCCCTGCTACATAATTTCCTATTGTATTGATTGATTATCTTTGTTCCATTCATATCCTCTAGGTTTTGTATTAAAAACCTTACCTTAGATCTGTTTACTTATACTGCACTTTGATACCTGGCTGACCCATGTTTCATACCGTGTTGCATTTTTTATGAATGCTGAGGCTGAACGGTCTGAAACTCTAAACATGGGGATGACATTTTGCAGTCTCGCAGTTTCTGGTGGTACAATTCCACTGGATGGGGCAGCTGCCTCATCGAAACATTATGAATACAAACACAAATTTACAACTTCTTCCTCTCCCCCAGGCACGGAGGGATTCACCACTGCAGAGGACATGGAGGAGCTGGGGCGCATCGAGAAGCAGCTGAAGCGGAGGTTTGCCATTGGCTCACAGGTGTCTGAGCATGCCATCGTCCAGGACTTCACCAGACAGGTGAGGAGTAGGAATATAGAGAGTTAGTTGTAAATGTGTACAAAGTCTAGAGCAAGGTCAAGCCTGTCTATTGTGACCATTTCCTCCAAATGTTAGCTGATTGGTGGTTTAGTCTCATTTACTTTGTGCAGCTTATAGACAGGGTTAACCTTCTCCCTGGTAACCTTTCGTCAGCCAGCCTTTATTGGTTACTAGGTAGGGAAAGAGGGATAAGCACTGATTAGTGCTGTATTGAGCTTTAATAAAGGCACAAGCAAACAAAGTGTACTCACTTGAACAGTATTGCTGTCATGATCAAGATCCCCAACCCAACAGGGCAAGAAGCCCCTTACATTTAACATCACTAGATACATCACCATCGTTATGGGTGGCCACCTGTCAGATCTGTTTTTGTAACCATGGTTCCCTGTCAAGTATAGGAGAGACTACACTTCCTCTGTTTCACAGGGACAGGTGCAACATGTTCTGACCCAGCTTGACCCCAGGATTGGAAAAACAATTATTTACTGTGCTGAAGGGAGCCCATTTCCTGTGAAAATATTTTTGAGTGGTCTTCCAGGGAAAAAGGTGAACAGCAAGAAACACGAATAAATGCCAAATGGTTGTTGTAAATATCAAGACCACCATCAACAAGCAGTAACTGCAACAAACCCTGCCAGAAAAACTCTGGCCTAAAACTTTTTCTACCCCAACATCTGCTTGGAGTTTGCTACAAGCTCTCTCAGCTTGCTCTTTTGATGAGTGACCTAATGTTTCCGGGGGCAACAGCAGTAGAAGCCTGGGGAGGACTCTTTCATTGGACATCCTTTGTCCCCTCCCAGGGCGCCTTTGTGCCACACTTCTCTGACCTACTTCCATCAGTTCTTTGTGCTCCCTCTGGTCCCATACACCAACTCAGTGTTTTCACAGAGAAACTTCCTGTGGTTAGTGATCTATGGTCCAATATATTCTTCACGAGCTGACAGGAAGTTGGGCAAAATGTGAAAGTCTTAAAAGTAACAGTCATGGTGAAGACAGGAGGAACTACTCATCTTGTAACGGTAATGGTGGGAAAATGTTACCAGGTAGCCTTGCTGTGAAAAGGAATCGGTTCAGGCTTGTTTTTCTTTGGGGCGAAGTCTCTCTTTTTCCTGCATGAGCAGAAAGATTTGGTCAGGTCATTTTCCTTTGTCTCTTCTTGACGTGTAAAGAATGAGGAAGAAGATGCATTATTTCAATCTAATTAGTATTCAAACCAGTCTGCAAAGTTGGTATGTGATTGTGAGCCAAGTAAGTTCATTCCTCTCACAGTTTTGACTACCATGGTCTGGGATAGGAACAACAGTCTGTGAAAGTTTTCCTTCGGTCGTTCACAGAGTTGTTTCACCTCCATGTAAAAAGTGTACTCATGGGAATTGAGTTGAGTGAGACTTGGTTTCCTTTACAAATATCCAGACATTTCCCCAAAGAACCACCTCACTCTTTAAGAAATGAGACATCAACACTTCTTGTTGACAGAACTATTCCCTTGCTGCAACTTCAGGCCCTGTAAGTGGCAAGGATGCTTGTCTTCACCCATGATGATGGATAGGGCATGAAATTACAGGTTCCTGTCTTTGACTGGGGGATTAGTTGTATCCTTCCTACTGTAGGATGAGACCTGCCCTCCCCCCTGGACAGGGAAGACAGGAAAACCCCAAGTGAGGAAGTAAAGACTCCCATGGCCACCTGTGGGGGGACCTGTTTAGTCTACAGGATCTTCTTTACACCTTTGTCCCCCCTCCCATAAGACGTCCAATACACCCGATATGGGAAAGAAGGAAAAGCTTGAATCATCATGCCTTTGAGGCAGCCAAAACCACTGGTAGAAAGATGGAAATAAAGAACACAGGTGTCTTGAACTCTTATCAGAACACCCTTGGCTGATGACAAGGTCGAGTTTGTCTGTGCTGACCAGGAAAAGATTATCATGCCTTTGAGGCAGCTAAAACCAGTGGCAAAAAGACCCCCCCCCCCAAAAAAAAGAGCAACTGATGTCTTGAACACCTTCAAAACACCCTTGGCTGATGGCTAGGTCAAGTTCTTTTACTTTGACCAGATTTCCATTCCAGGGTTTTCTGTTGACAACTTTTGGACACTTATTGGTTCTGAAAGTACGTGATTGGATTAAGACTTTCTCAGAAGCAGCTCCTAATTTCGGAACAGTCTGAACACCAAGTGCATGTTCTCATCCCTAGGATCTTGTTTTCCATGTCCGTGTACTTGATCTTTGGCCAAGTTGCAGTAATCAAATTTGTCTCCTTGGAACACTTCAAAGCTGAGAGCAGAGGTCTGTTTTCATACCTGCCCTCCCTGCTGCATTCCTGTGATGAGGAGGAATATATTGCAGGAAACAAGTCTATTTCCTGTTTGGTGGGTCACCTTCCTCTTCTAGTCACATTTTGGCCTCAGATTTATGTATAAAGAAGCGAAAACAGCTCCTCCCGTAGAGACAGGATCATAATGCGTGGGATTGTTTTTCACACTTGAGACTGTTAGCAATTATAGTTCCCAGAGTTGAAGATAAGGTACCAGCGAAAACAGGATATATAGCCTTTCTTCACTGTCAAAAACACCTGATGACGTCATGCTCTAAGCTGGGTTAGGCTGAGTGGAACCTGTACTAGTGGAGCAGAAAAGGCAAAAGAAGCATTGTCATCAGAGTACACTGACACATTGCCCTGGTTAATATTTTTCCCTTCTTCTCTATTAATCCATATAGCACAGTCTACATCAAGTTTTATGATAGGACTCCCGAACATTTATAGAAAGAATCGAATTGTAACATCTTGAAGTCCTTATGATACTAGTATGCTGATTGGTGAGTCCAACAGACAGTTGATCCTTGAGTTCAAGTTGATGAAGATAAACTTTAGCCCTTAATCTTGATGAAATCCTTGTAACACGAGCAGGCTTTCATTGTGTGTTGGTGGCATGTCCTGCAAGGTAAACTTGACAGATACTTCGTGTAACTTGGGGCAACGGCAGGTCTTGCACGTAGGTAAGGTTTGAATTTAGAAATACAGCAGGAAATGGTTACAGTAGACAGGTGGCCACAAAACTTAAAGGGCATAATAATCTAAACTTTTTGGCAGTGTTTATGCAGAGTCTTTAGTACAGGTTTGACTCTATCAAAGAAATTTTAAAAATTTGGGAAATTCAAATTAGAACTTAAGTGGCCTTTTGATAGTGTGTGTAGCAGAGAATTATTACTTTGAGTAGCAGTATATATTTTGTATACATTACTATATATTGCTTGGGGGCCTGCATGAGGCTTACCGTCAATACTCTACACTGGTTTCAGAAAAGGCAAGAACAACTACGTATTACTTCAAAATTAAGCAGGCCTGGCTTTGCTGCTTAGTGTCGATGCTAAGTTTGTTGCAGGGCAGGTGAACTTGACCTTGTGTGACCCCGGATGACTTACATTAGCTGAGGCACATACTAGTCAGTAGTAGCCATCCTTCCATCTCGAGATTGGCACGTAATAAGCTGTAAATATCCTGCACCATCCCACCCATGGTGGCACCTATGTCGTGTCAAGTGGGGGCGACATGCACCGTAAAAGTCTTACCTCTGGCGCCAACAATTTCTGTTTTGTTTATGGAGATTTTAGAGGGAGGATTTCTTGAGTCCGTGCCAACATTTTCAGGTTTCAAGCTAAGAAGACATCAAAAGTTGCAGGGATTTGTCCATAAAGGGAGGAGAATTAGGGTTTAGGGTAGCTGTGCAGTTGAGCATTGGAGTCTTTGTGTGGAGGATTTGGAGCTAAATCGGCAGGATAGTCCTCTTTCTCACGCTGGAGAAAACGTAAAGAACAGTGTAGGACGAGAGACTGCCAGAGTGTCAATAGCAGTGGCACAGATTGTGAGCCTGTAATGCCATCTCCAGTGTGGACGTTTTGTTTCCCTAGTTGCCCAGCGATCCCCAGAACTGATGCCAAAAGGGGGATTGCTTCCTGTACCCTGTGCTTTGCCATCACTCTGGAAGTGTCAGCATGTTGTCTCAACAGCAGCGAGAAATGCCGAGGAGACATACCCAGCATTCCAAACTCTCACTTTCACAGTAACTGTTACAGTTGACCAGAGAGAATGCTGCTGTGACATCATTTCACCCTTGAAACATCTCACCCTGAACTCTGTGAACTCACAGCTGGGAACTAAGCACTATACAGATGTGAGTATCCATGTGGTGAAAATAATGTCCTTTTTTTGTCTCCTGTGCAGAAATACGCTGAGCGTGCGGTGCACAAGGTGCTGTCTCTGATGGTTCGTCGGGGAGAGATTCAGTATCGCATGCAGAGGAAGATGCTGTACCGGATCAAGTAACTGCTGAAGCTAACATCGTCCATCCATTTTTGTAAGCACCAAAATCCAACCCCCCAGTTATCCCGTGGAATATTGTGAAATCCTATCACATCTATCAGAGTATCGTACAGTCGGGTAGATACAGACCCCATGTGGTCCAGAGCCAGAAAGATGTAGCTGCTTTGGACATTCCTAAGAGTCATGGCACCAGAGCGCAAGCAACCAGCCATTGCCTTCATTGTTTGTTTACACAGTTCGAACACCGACAAAGTGATAGTTCCAAAGCTCCATCCTATACGTCCCATTTGAACGGTAGTTGCACACACTGTGAAGGCCAGGCAGATCCAAGGGTATGTCTATGCCGCAGCAACAGTCCTGTGAAGCTGAGCAAGGCCATTGCCCTGTCACTCGAGTCTCTGTATCATCCACCGTGTGCCCTCAAGTAACGCCAAGCGATGACCGCCAGATACAGGACAATTCTAATTTGTTGACTGTCAACATTGGACAGACTCACCATCAAAGAAAGCGGTGGCTCTCGTCTTTATCTAATACCGATTTTCTCAGACAGCGTTGCTCCCCCGCAGACTCACTATCCATGCAAATCCAGGTCCCCTGCAGGGGAGCCCAGCTGAGAGCATTCCCTTGATGTTCCCTATTCCAAGAAAGAGATCCCTCGCTTCACACACTGTTGCTTTGGCTTAGCGTGCTTCTGCTTTTGTTCCCCTTTCTCTATCAAATTTCTTAGGAGGCGAACTTTTCTACAATGAAGCTATTTAGCGTGAAAGAGGATTGTGTCAGAATTGTGATCTATTATCGTTCGGAAAACTTAGGAGAACATTTTATACTAGAGCTAACCTTTGATTCAAGTTATAGAGATGTATATAACGCTGACAAGCAGAGAAAGGGTCTCTGTTTTTCCAGTCACGACTGTGCATATTGGGTAGCTTTTTATGTGTCAGTCATGCTACACAGTGGGGTGGGGAGATAGCTGTGTTTCTGTGTGTTAAGAAAACAGGGACACAGAGGAGTATTATTTAAGCAACTACTTGTGGATGCCATAATCTGCCCTCTGGAAACACATCCTAACATTAAGAGTGTTATTATGCTTGTTGATCTATTAGCTTCCTGAATGACTTGCTTTCTTTTCCGATCTGCGGCAGGCTCTGCTCACTTGATAAATCGATGAGCACACAAAGCTAGTGTTGTTTGCGTGGAAGGGGAGAAGGCTTTAATTTCGGTGACAGGTCAGGGGTCGGGTTGCACCATTATTGCGTGAACACGGTGACATCTTGTCTATTGTGTACCCCTGGAGGTACGTATGTAATAGAACTACCCGCCAACTCTCCCGTCGCCGTATCCATTCTGTTGTCTTTGCTGTTTTCTTGTGTATTAATGACGATATAATAAAAATATACTGTGCATTGTAGAACGGGCTGTGTTGTTTATTTCTGTGTGATAGTGGTGTATTGTGGTCTGACGAGGGCGACATGTCCTGACACTGAATATGGGTAACGCATCCCTTGATCTGACCGGTCAGGAGGAGTTGCGATGGCGTCAGACAGGGTGCCCATCTTCACCCATAATCCTCACCTACGTAATGCACCCGTTCTTGTTTCACGCGCACACAAGCCTCTCGTTGTTAGTCGGCTTTACCACGGTAAACACTGTACCGGCACTTGAGAGTGCTAATGCTCTACTAACCCCGGGCAAGTTGGTCACCTGAACACAAACACATTAAAGACCCCATCCTCAGTACTTGGTCCATGATGCTTCAATTGTAGTTATCCACTTTGTCTCAGTCGCTAAGGGACTTCGAAACAGCAGGAGATCTGTGGAACACACCTGTTACTTTCACAGAGCTCCATCCCAAAGGAAGATGAAAGGAGCTTTGGGGTTTCTCTCACTTGTTTGTAGAACTAATGGAATATTTAGCATGTGGTCTACCACAGATAAGCAGTAAAATGAGGGAACAATCTGCATTGTTTACAAACACAATAAACAATTACAAACACAATAAGCAACTCGAAGTTGTGATTGAAGGGGCTGAAAAATTGCTACAGGTGTAACTATCAGTTGTAACATACTTCGAGTTTTGTAACTTGCCTCCCACCTGTTCTAAGTTCTGCAAATGTCGGTAACTTTGAGAACTATTTGTCGAGGCACTTCCATGAAGTGTTTGTTCGTCTGGGTTGCAACAGGAGTCAAGGTGAGCCGGCCACATGGTTGAACTTTCCTCATCCCTAACTAACCATTACTGCTTGTCGCTGTCACATTCAGAACAAAGAGGCCTGACTAATCAAACTGAAACGGAAGAAAAGCACCTTTGTGGCCGGCGGCCCCCTCCTGTTTGCACAAAGATCAGTGCTGTTTATCCAAATGACCTCCCTATTTACTTCGTATAGGATGATGTTTACCGTACCAAGACCTATTGTTGATGCAGACCTCTTCCTTTTCGCACCTTTGTCGGTGCGGGGCCGGAGGGGTCGCTCTTGTTATCCTGGAGGGGTTAATGACATGTTTGGGGACACCCTGCCCACAATATTGATGGTCAGGCACCAACAATCGCGGTGAAAAAACAACCAATGTTAGGAGGGTCTTTTGTAACAGTTGATTAATACCCGGGCAAAAGGGCAGCCAAGGTGAGTACAGGTGCACACCTGGCGATTCTTGTGACCTGCTTGGTTCAGAGACCCACCTGCCAGGTCGGTGCCTACTCCAATTTGGAAAAGCGAAAAGAAGGAGGCGTCAAGCTTGGATCCCTTTCTGTCATCACCTGCAAGTTGACGCAGGTGCCGCAGGTGTCAGATGCTGCAAATTACAGATCGGTCTCCTCCCTGCACACCTCGAATTGCCATTGTATTGTATTTTGTACCAGTATAAGAAGGCGTCCAGGAATTTGATTTTTACTAATGCTACTAAAAATTCCAAATAAACACCTGCTAGGATCTCTGGTCTCCAAGCAGAGGGACCAGAGATATATCCAGTTGCTTGATTTATTTATCCTTACATCTGCTTGGAGATTAGCAGTTGACCAGTACTAAATCCTCTGGTGGCAAATCAACGACCAAGAGCATAGGAGATAGACAGCGTAGGAGATAAGACCATGTCCTCTCCATATCTGATCGACTAAGCTCCTGTGATAGACTTAATGAGCTTATCTCAAATAGTTGATACAGAAATAATCTGTTAAGCTGCCCATTAAGGTGTACTGTTTCATTTGTGTCCAGCTTAAACTGCGCTAAGTCTAAACAGAATGTATCAATGAGCTCATAATTGCGTTTTAAAGACTTCAGATGCCTAACTGCTTTCATCGTCCTAGTCAGTTGGTAGGGGGGGGGCGATAGGTAACCTCCTAGAATGGTGGTATTTGGAGGCGGGTTATAACGTGCTTTTTTTCTGGTTTCTCAATTTCTAAGTACGCCATAAGTTCTAAGTACGCCATAAGCTAAAAAAAATCGCAAGGTCTGCAAAGGAGGCTAGGCTATCCATTAGATACCCCACTATATTTAATCTTGGGTATATAAAGGTGAGTTGAATTGAATTGAATTGAATATAAATATAGTGGCATTTTCCTGTGTGTATGTACCGATACATGGAGCTGGCACTGGTCACATTCGCAATCTTGCTGATTTATGTAATAGCTTTTAATGATTACAAACTAATTACTGAAACCTTGATTAGATTTTCTAAACCCCAGTGTCTTTTCAAGTTGACCGATGTGAGTTGTGGCGATGTGTTTATGCCAAACAGATTCAAGTATGATAACTCTGAAGCCGTGAGCTGGTCCTTAACAACCAGGTTTCTCAGAATTTGTTCTCGATCAGCGTTTCGATCTATTTTGGTCCTCTCCGCGTAAAATTAAACTGATGAGACACCTTTCAAGTGAATTTCTTTAACCGTATATCCTTCTCAGTTCTCGGAAGTACTAGTATAACAAGTTCGTGTTTCTTGCCCACTGTCAACTATGATAACATCACAGAACCACCGAAACAGGAAGACAGCTGGGAATCTCCAAGCAGATATTAGGATCCGGATCAGTCTCTGTCTTTTACGCGTTTTGTACAACATTTTAACGTTACATCTTCTTACCACTAAACTCCGACTTAATAACTTTTTAGCTTCCACGGACTCCAAGCAAATTCATGAGCTACGTCGCCACAGTTTCTGACTATATATAAAGTCGATTCAAATCTAAAACAAAGAAGAAAATCAGTAACTTCGTGCGACCGGTAGGTCGATATAACGATAGCATCTTGGCATCCTGTAGACTTGCGGGTGCGGAAAATACGCAGTGATTGAAGAGTCAATTAAAAGCTTAGCTAATCACTTCTTCTGTTAATTACAGTTTCAACAAACCCGACCATTCACTCCATCCGTCTCCACGTCGATATCAGATAGCATGATTTAGGGTTGTGTGTTTAATGACAGATCGCCCAAACCGCCAAATGAGCTCGATGACAATTAGAACCACTTAAGACTCAATTAAGGGCTATTGTCCGATTCGTAACTTGGAAACTTCAAAGCGAGAAACGCCGACTTGAAGGAAACAAATCAAATACATGTTTATAAATTTAGATTGCGCGGAATGTGTATTTTAACTGCCGACTTCAGGCGACGATGTACTTAGAACAGAGGCAGAGGCGGTCATACCGACGTCACCCAAGGGTCAAACGTTCAAATCCAGACGCTTACAGTTTATCATGAACATAAAAGGCTACTATATATATGTATGTACCATCAAGGATGAGAGACGCTTCCACTGTAATTTCTTGAACTGATCGATGAGAGCTACGTCTTCAGTCGTGACATCATCTGCTTGCAGCATGGCCTCTTTGTCCTAAAATGGGCTCTGTTGAAGAGCACAGTGGCCAACGGATTGTGAACTTCAAATTTTCGGAGTGGTTTTGAGTTTTCGCTAGGACGTCTGGACGCGAACTCATCACACCGCGAACATGTGGAGTTTGTCTTCCGTTTTGGTACAAGGGTTGTTTTAGCCGCGAACTCTTGATTTTCAGAGCGCCGCGAACTTAATGAAGCTACAGTAGAAAGTTCCTCACGCCGGGAGGCCTACTGCGTCACGGAGTTCACCGTGACCTCACTCAGCTGAAGGTCGTTCGCGCTGACGTCACTGCAGACTGTGCACTATGCACACGGGTCAAATCATGAAACCATTTTCTTCCGTTTCTTTCCTTTTTTTTCCAAAATTTCCTCTCGTCCTGTCAATTTCTTCTGTCTTCACTCTTGCTCTTTTTGCCTCCCTTTTTCTTGGTCTCCATCAGACCAAAGGGTCCAGACACGAATGCTGGAGTGTTCGTGAGATGTCGTTCTGACCTAAATCAGCACCCTTAATCCCCGGCAGCGTCATTGCGGATGTTTTTGTGAAAGTTAAATCTCCTAATCCAGCCTAAAACACCATCAGGGACGATCCTTTTTCCTTCCCGGTTTGAGCACCATCTTGGGAGCAGCTATTCAAGGGCCCGGTTTCAGTCGACGTACGACAGATTTCCGACGGCGAACTAAGCTGAGAGCATTCTTGGGAAAGTCATTGACACGTTTTACAAAATTCACCTGTCTGTTGTGACGGAAAGGTTGTCGTATATTCGTGTTGGTGGTCTTTTATAGCATAAAGAACAGTCCATGGCTACGACAGAAACTCGTGCCGCAAACTCGTGACTGCACCCAAAGTTGGGGATAGACGCTCCGTGATAGTACAAAATATGATATGATTGTTTTTCACACTTACTTCTGTTCTAGTCTTTCAATGATAACTTGTAGAAATGAACAAATACCTTAGAAGGTATTGCTATTATAATTCCACCTTGAAAATGAAAGGACACTCAAGTCACTGAACGCTTGGCAATGTTTTGCCAGAGCCATAGGGGTTTATAAACACTCCATGTGCTTATTTGTGACCTGTTGACATCGTTGTCATTCTCCATAGTTCCTTTGGCCCACAGGTAAGTCTGCGCGACGTGTCGGGGCTTTTAGTAAGTTTTCGTGTCCCGCCAAGAAGCTTTGGAGAAAGTAACAGGGCAGGTCAATCGCTCCTTTGTGGCGGCTGCGTCAGGGGGTACGATTACCGGTGTCCTGTGGCGAGGCTGTTGTACCGAGGCTTCCACCTGTCCTTTCATCTCGCGCTGTTTACCGCGAGAACTGAGGCTGTCTTCTGTTCGGCAGCGCGCCACGGTTGCTTTACGGTAAATCCAGGTGGGCCACAGGAACGTTTGAACCGCCAACCGACTGTACACTAACTAGAATCACCCAACACAACAATCTGTCAAGACGTTTAATACTCTGCTACCAGCAGAAAAACTCAAAACCGTAACAGAATGGCAGAAGTAGGAATTTATTGTTCCACTTTTATTTATATGTTTTAGTTCATTTCATTTGTGGACCACCTGTAACGTTTACCTATGATGTACACCATTGTTTGTTTGCCTGCTTGCAATTACTAAGTAAATTGTATTACGATGTACATGTATTAGAATCGTTTTCGTAACCCTCCCGGCGAGATCTCCAAGTAGATGTAAAGATCCGGCTCAGCCTAAATATTTTACGCGCGTTTTTGCAACATTTGGTACATCTTTCTAATAGAACATCTTTTTAACACTTCGCAGGTGTTCAGAATGAACATGTTGTGTTGCAGCGATTAGATAGCATTGAGTGACCGCCGGCAGATGTAGGAGGAGGTGAGGAGTTAGAGAGGAGTACTACTTCAATAATGTACTAGTTATGTCGCAAAAACACGCGTGAAGCACTGAGATTTGGCAGGATCCTTACATCTTCTTGGAGAATAAATGCATGCGTCCAACGGAAGTGTCTCAAACCCAGCGGAACAGGTGCTTCTTGCGCCAGGGTCTGTAACGCGCCTAATCAGAGTAATTCATAAAATCACGGTAGGGATTACTGCGTGAGAACGGAGTCCCCCATCGCTTCCTGAACTGATCCTATCTTTCCGAGTCACTTTGAACTTGCCCGGGTCAGTGTATTCCAAGAAAGTCCGTGTTGTTTCGGAAGGCCTCTATCCCCCAAACAGCGTGGCACCTTGACCCTCTGCAGCAGCCTCTCCAGGTCCCAGGAAACTCCCGGCCGCAACACCTGTTCAACTCCTGCCGTAAAGCGTCCGTTGTTGCCATAACAATTCCCCACATCTTACACATTACACGGCGATCTCTCAGCTATTCTCGAGGTTGGAGACAGAGAAAAGTTGTGAGAGTATTTTTCCTCTTCCCTGGCAACAAGTGGCGGTCCCTAAAAATAGAACATCAAGTTCGTCAAGCTCTGCATGCGGCAATCCGCTTCGGCCTGGCGACCCGCCGACTGTTTTGGTATATTTTTACAGGCTGTGATTTACTGGTGGGCAGGACTCCAGCAGATCGTCCCCCGAGCTTGTCACGACAGATTAAAGCTGAAGAATGATTGCACTTGACCGCTGTGAAACAAACAGCAGGCTCTGCCCAGTTATGGGGATGTTACAGTTCAGTCGTGCGGAGGCACCCCCGCGGAGATGGCTCTCTGCCAAACTCTTCAAGCAGATGTTGGGGTGGAAAATGTGACCGACTGGCTTCAACTGACAGTCCTTCACTCCAACATCTGCTGGCCGTCAGCACGTTCTGTTGTTGTTGATGTTTAGTCGATTTGTCCACTACACATGGGCTCAATGTGCTGTCTTTTCTATGTGCTTATAGACGTTCTTGTGCTCACCGGCCTCAGGTGCTCTGTAAGCGAGTGCTGTAAAAATACTTCTTGGGAATCTGTTTCAAATCTTTTTGCCTTTTTATATGTAGTTGGATATACATGTAGCTTTGTGGATCATTCTGCTCATCTCATCACTCAGATATTCTCTAATTCCCGCTAACGAGGTTATATTTATATATCTGATCTCTCCTATCTGTCCTACTGTGACGTTTCCACCCCCAACATCTGCTTGAAGATGGCTCCGTGCCCGATCCCGCCGCTGACGCCTGACCCGACACGCCAGCTAGCCTCCTCATTGGACCAGCGGTTCCTCCGCCTAAATGCGAGATATATATGGCTAAAGATGCATGACTAAACTGCTCTTTCTCCATTCAGCACGCCCGTACGCTAGGGTGCCACGACCCCACTCCCTTTCAGTTGCCAGATATAGCCCAGAGGAGCTGCGGTGTGTTTCCCAAACTTCCTTCGCAACCAGACCAAACTCTCTCTCAGCAACTCAAGCAGTTCAACATCGAGATGGAGCATCAGATACACCTGCGGTAAGCGTACTCGACTTGGCCGTATACTTTTTCAGTGAAGTAATGACTTGTTTGTTAGACTGTAGACTGAGTACTGCCCTGTGTTTGTGCCGGGGGAGGCCTAGTGTCTTCTTCTCGGTGTAACTGAAGAAGTTTGTCCACGTGTGAGGAATCAGCGCAGGTCTGAGCTGTCCATCACAGCGACAGCCTCACTGATCACTCAGCGCGCGCCGATAATAACAGTCTTAGTATCTAGGGCGTTGGTTAGTCCACGATGTCATTGAGTAGTCTTTTTTCTTCAATGCGTCATCATTAGTCGTCATAAAAAAGTTAGGCGTGTTTGGGAGACAGTCATGAATGCGTCGTATTAAGAATCGACTGGATTATAGCGGGGAAAATTCATCTACGGATCCTTGTGTATCTCGTTGAAAATTCTACGACACAATTTATACAAACAAAATCTACACCATGCTATGGCTCTATAGATCTACTGATCTACTGTATGTATTTGATATATATCGTTTAGATCAATCAGATGTAGGGACGGAAAATCACGTTTTTCATGCATTTCTTTGTCTTCTGTGATGTTTGGTGATTTAACCAGTGAAAATTTCTTACAGAAATGCGAGCAGTTGAGCATGATCCCTTTTCTTTTAATACCAGCCAAATAAAGCTCAACTTTGCAATTTGATGTCGTTCTGCGTCAGTTGTACGTTATTTTGAGATCCACGTCGATTCCCGCTTTCCACACCACCTGTCACCATCCACAACAGATTTGGAACATTTCTCTAAAATTAGTCCCCACCATCCACACTGTCTCTTTTAATAGCAAAAGTCGATGTAAATGCCTGGAGCGGACCCGTTTGCGGAGCGGGAAAACATGTGGTTCCTATCAGGACGGTAAATCTGGTCCATCTCACTTTTGGACAAATCGTCTCGTCTTGCGTGCGGCTGACGTGGCTGGCTGGTGGCGGGAAAACACTACACTCCAACAACTTCAACAAGCAGATGTTGGACGGGGCCGGGGGGAGACCGTTACCCTATTCCACTTTTTACAGTTCTAACTTGACCCCGCTTTCTGACAGTCGTCCTATCGAACGTTAGCAGAATAACATGATAACAATCTTCAACCAGATATAGGGACCCGGTGTTTTAGGCCTTTTTGTGACACTTTGATCGTCTTTTTGGTGGACGACGTTTTATTACTTTATACTGAGAAGAGCTAAAACGCAGACCAGTAGAAAGGTACGTAAACAATGTGCCACACATGCAAGTCGTAAGTTTTAGCCGTGGTGACTTTTGGGCGTCTTTCAGCTTACTGTCCATGCCATCTATGATCACTAGTACCTGCTGAGTTTCTTTCGTCCTCGAAATTTAGAGGACGAAAGAGACTCGGCAGCTATTATAATAGAGATAGATACCAGGCTAGGTGTCTTTTCCTTACAGTCGTATAATTAAATACGCCCTCCAAGAGTCGCCACGGCTATGCCGGGACCCTACGTCTGCTTGGAGACTATGGGAACGCGCTACATCTACTAGTACTATGTACGAGTGAGCGAAAGAACGACTCCCGCGTGTCCTCGGGTAAAAGAAACGCTCGTGGCGCCAGCCTAATTCTGCCCAAGACAACACAAATCCACCTCTGATGGGTCGGACCGAAGGGGTTAGTGCACTCAAGTTGTCTCAAGGCGCGGCGAGGGCAACGCCGCCGTGACACACGTCACTCACGCATTCCCCGGCCGTCGGAAGGGGGCGTGCGCAGCCCCGGCTGAGTCACCCACTTCACCGTCGTCAACATCACGACGTCTCGGTCTCGCGTGGGCGCCCGGCCACGGAGCGCGACAAAAGAAGCGCCGTCTGGAGTGTAGACTTTCCCCCCGCGCTTGTTTATTGCGGGACAATCAAGATGCTTTAGGTTTTTATCGGGCCGCGTGGTTTGCATGCCACACGCGACACCGCAGGTACACATACCCGCCCTCTCTGTATATACACATCACACTGTTCCTGCTCTGAGTTAGCCTAGATGCCAGACTGTTGCCAGGACACACCTAGGCCAACTCTTCTACTCCAGGACCAACATGCCCCTGAGGAAATTCTGCCACAAGCAAAATGTGGGTAGGGTGCCAACTGGACTTTGACGCATGACTGAAAAGTATAGCTGAAGAGATTGGTATTTGCCTTGCCATCCGGGTCTGTCATCCAGGCTACCTCCGAGGACGCCGGGGAAAAAACAGGCAAGGTCTTGCGCGCGCATACCTTTCCACTGACCTACCGGCGGGTCGAGACTTTTATCTGTCAATTTCTGCCTGTCACTTCCTGTCCTTTGTCGCACCTGTCTTGACCTTGACTGCTGATTTAGGACCATTCTATATCATTCACGTCACGTGACCAATGTGTGTAACGGCCCGTAAGGTCCAGCTTCGACACCGAGGACACTAGTCATGACAGGCTGACCAAATAAAACGTACTTAATTGCGGAATCAGCGCGAGATATTAAGAGAGTGTAACTAGCCCTTCCCTCCGATACCCGGAGTACTGGAAACTTCCTGTCATGCTAGAGTAATCAACTTCATTGTGCTGGCTATAATTTAGTTATATACTAGTAGAACGTCCGACCGACGCAGAAAATCATTTGGCTGCCACATAAGCCTTCCTGTGCCAGTGTAAAACGGAGTGGTCGGATCGAAAGGGTTTACGGTAGTCCCGTCCAACATCTGCTTGGAGATTTGGGCATGTGGTTGGTTCCTAAAAATAACCAACCACCGGGTAAACCACCGACTGCACCGAGCGAACCGAGGTGGTTTGTTCAGCGGTTATAAAATATTGAGAAGTACTCTTCATTCAGAGGTTGAAAGGAAAGTCCGAGAGACCGTTGCTTTCTTCTGACTGGTGCCCCCTTTTAATGACAGAAGCCGGGATTGGCTCTCAGGAAACCATTCAGAAAACAGTACACATACAGTCTCTCCCTTGAACCGTTGCTTAGGAGGGTAGTGAACATCTACACACTGTGAGTGGCTTGATATTCACCCTTGTTCTTCGACTTATCGACGATGACACTTGTCATTTCATAAATATAGAGTGATGGTTGACAGATACGGATCATCACAATACAGAGGACGTGTTATTGGGGGTATCGTTTAATTGCGTAACGTTACACTACTATTCTTCATCATCACACTTACATATACATCGTCACGTGACAGATCTGTCTCTAATGTGACAAACGTCTTTATCATTTATATTTATTATCCTTATACTAATGGCATGTCTCTGATTAAAATCACGTGCCACATGAAATGAAAAGGCTACTATTCCAAAAATGTTATCACAAGTGAGGTTGTTGCACTTTTAGTTTTACGTTCGATCCGTCAGTAGTAGTTAAAACCGGTTTTTAGTGTTCAAATTCCGTGCTGACGTCATACGTTTCCCTCAATGGAGTAGTGGTATTTGAGATAGCGTCTTCCCGTGGGTCAATTCCAATGTCAAATGGCTACAACCTATGGAAATGCCATTTCATTCATAAATACCTACTAAGAGTTATTCTTATGCCAATTCTACACACCACACACACACACACTATATACATATATATTATAGACACACACACACACAAGGTTCCCTTTAGGCTTTCCCAAACCGCTGGCATATTTGGGATTTTCGTCTGGCTTCCAGCACGTCGCGTCGGTCCCACGCGCTAGACTTCAGCCGCAGGAATTCGGAGTTCACGACCCGAACTTTCCTTTGCCTCTTGTCACATCACCTTTTTAGGCCTTTTAGGACTCCCACGGAACATAGAAGTCTGTTTTTATACTCGGTATAACGTTTTGTAATCGGTTTATCAATTTCACTTTCTTTTTCCAAACACAGAAAAAGCTATCGCACAATTGATATTTTACTTCTATCAACATAGCGTGGAAGTCAGAACAAGAAAGATTCGCTCTACCAGGTTTAATCAATTTGTGAAATATTGTAAACTGGATATATCCAGTTTGGTCTCAGTGAACCAGTCTAAACCTGCTCGAGGACAGTCACATCACACCATCTGCAGGTGATAGAACGCGAGCCACAGCAACGACCGGAGTGCGTGTCACAGTGCTGATTGGCCATGTAACTTACGAGCAGTGTAAAAATGTTGATATCCTCCAGGACAACCCCTAGATTTTTACAGTCTTGGCCTGAAATCCTGCGCGCCGTGTGAAAATTAAGCCTGACTGACAAGCATAGCCAAGTGTGTTGACTGAAAACATCGCCGAACGCACATAAACCGGAAGTTGTTGCGGGAAAGCCGTATTTGGACAAAACACGAGACCTTTGGCCCAGGCTCGTCTGCCTGGTCTGTGCCAACGTTCGTTCCTCGCCCACGCGGGGGTTTTGTTGCGGTGACGGCGGAAGCCAGCTGCCCGAAAGCGGATTTCGCGGCTTATTTGCTTCTAGGAAAGTGGTAGTTTTTATCGAACATCGATCGAAACGTTGGGTGTGAAAGTAGACTAGAGAGCAACTCAGGAAGTGTTTCTGGGTCGTTACCACTTCTGCCGGAATAAAGTTAGTGGGCTTGCGGGTACAGATAACAAAGTAAGTGACCCACAAAAAAAGGGCCATAGCAGTTCAGCGAGCCATGGCATTTGATGTGGCCTTCCCTTTAACTTTTCTCTGTTTTTTTGCTACCGTTTCAATGAACGCTGGCACCGGGAATAAGATTCTGACGCGATTTCCCGCTCAATTTGAACCTGTCCGTAGGCAGGTCCTGCGCCGGGAGGGGCGGTGGCTGGTGGAATGGAACCCGTACCCATTGGGTAATTTGAGCTGATTGACAGAGGTGGTGCCTACGTAAAAGCTCCTGTGCGTAAGAGAGCACGGTCACACTTTTTGGCGGGTCGTCGACCAATCAGACGCTGCAACTGCCAGCCCGCCAGCCCTTCATAGGTGCGAAGAGGTTCCCCCGTTTGGGTATATGAACTGTGGCTGGCACCCTCTTCAGAAGTCACACTGAGTCACCCCAGTGTTGTCGGCCTGTTAATTCAATTTGCGTACGCAAACAAAAGCGAGGGGTCGCTGGTCAGAGCGATTTTCAGCAGTTCAAACTTTGTCCGTGCCACCGAGAGGACGTCCTAACACTCAGTGCGACTCCCGAGTTTCGTAGAGTTGTCTTCCTACTTTTCCTTTTCCTGACTGCTGCCGACTTCTCTTGACAGGGTTGTTTACGGGAACATGGGTGTGCGTGTGCTGGTCCTGTTCGCGCTCTGGTCAGCGGGCTGGCCTGGATTGCCCCGCGGGGTCCCGCTGCCGGGCGTCCGAGCGCACTCCTGCCTGCCGTGCGAGCCCGAGGAGTGCGCGGTGCCAGCGGACTGCCCCGGCGGCACAACCATGGACGTGTGCGACTGCTGCAAGGTCTGTGCCCGGCGAGTCAACGAGACCTGCGGCGGACTGTACGGCATTCAGGGGACCTGCGATCGCGGGCTCCGCTGTGTCATCCCGTCCCCCAAACATGGCGAGCACATCACGGGCAACGAAGTTGGCGTCTGTCAGGGTAGGTCCGTTATATATGTCACGTCCTGAAATCCTCCCCCAAAACACCCCCAAACATTCGCTGTTTTCATATTTCTTTTTTGCTGCTACGTCGATTTTGATTTGTAAATGTTATGACAATACATCTGTCCTGGGGTAAACCCATGCTGGCCATAGAATTCCCCCCTTGTAGACGACAGTGTGCCTCTGCCAGTCCGGTATGATTTGTGCCAGGGTAGATGAGTCAACACCAAGGCTTATCCTTGAGTGTCTAGCTATGCGGAGGAATGGGAGTCAGACGATCAAGTTTGGGGTAAAATCGCTGTCTGCCTTCTCGTGTCTTCCCAGTCCCCCTTTTTCATTCCTTGCGGTGCCGAAAGAATGCCTGCTATCCGGCGGCCCGACCGCGACCATTAGCATAACTGTTGCCCTCGGGCCGGGGAATGAAATCCGAAGCCCGGGTATCGTCAACTCGGCTCGGCTTTCAGCGACACCGGCCCGTGGCGTGGTCGTCTTCCTCCACAGTAAAGCTATCCTCGTGTCGGTCTCGAGATACGGCGGCGATACCGTAACACAGGGAGTTATAGAGAGGGCCGTCTTTTCTCGACACCTGAGAACACTGGGGAACCGGCCAACCGTGTCAAAGTTTCAATACCGTGATCTCGATCTGGGACAGGTCCCTATCTACAGACAAGATCGCACAACTGACACCTATCATGGCCCCCATCAAGTAAACTGTACAGAGAACTGGGTAGGGCAGTACCAAGCGAAAACCTGCTACAAATTCTACTTTAGTTCTGTTTGGGAAAAACTCTTGAGACCATGATGTCAAAAATGTGTATTTCTGAAATGTATATATATGTGTATTCTCCCACCAGACTACCCTACTCAAATTTTAAGACTTCATCCAATCATATGCAAATCATGGCCTATTATATCATCAATCACTTGTTAGCACTTTTGATGGACTTGATGATTTCCAATTAACCTGTTTGTTTAGCACTCCATTGATCAGCCTGTATTCAAATTGTAGTTCAAAACACATCAACCATTGTAGCTAATGTACTCAGGCCTCTTTCTTTCATCACGTCTGATTTGGTATGTGTATTCTGCCATGTTGATCATACTAAAAGGACATTGTATGTATCTATGAAAAATAAAAGCTCAAAAACTGTAGTTAGAATGAAAACATAACAAATTTGTATTGAGGTGTTTGTGTGTATTCATTTTCAGAAAGCACAGTAAGCAATACACAAATGTTAAGTTGTACTGTGATGTGTATTCATTCTCAGTGGAAGAAGAGACTGCTTGCAAAGAACAGATGTTCACAGGCTGCAATATGGTGGAGGGAACCTGCTTGTGTGAGCGAGCGAGGGCTTGCAGCAACCCCTTTTCCTTCGAGGACAAGCCAAAATGCTTGCTGGCCATCTCTGAGATGAATGGTAAGTCCCACCAACAGAGGTCACTGACTGTCCGCCCACACAAACATTAGTTTCCATGGCAACCCAGGGTAGGGAGGACTTTAGAGGTCCTAGCTCAGAGCAGATGCTGTAATTATGACCTAGACTATAACAATGCCAGGAAAGGGGATAGGCATCTACTTTTTAAGTTTGATCCAGTTTTTTTGTAACTTCTGTTTCCTACCTACTTTTTTGTCTGACAAGCAAGAAATTCTTGTGAAATGGCCTAATTAATACACAACTTGGGATTTCTTCATGGTGACATGTGGAGTGAAGTCAACAAAGTTGTATATTTGGCCCCAGTTCAATACCTTTTTGTATGAAGGAGTATGCCAGCTAGCGTGTTCTTTTGTTGTTTACTGCCCTGTAGTGCTCAGTAAACAAGGAAAGATAAACCCAAATCGATAACTTAAAAGGGATAAGCCAGCTCCTTCTAGCATTGAGTGCAGAGGTTTTTTTTAGTAGCACAATAGCAGTCTTTATGTGGGCCACGTTGGTCCAGGACTTCTTGCATGGAATAAAGAGGGATAGAGGGTGACAGCAAGGGCTCGATGGCAGGAAGTCAACACCATTGTTCAAATGAGTGGAAAAGAACCAATGGCAAGTCCACGCCCGAAAAAAGCAAACAGAAACAAAAGGGTTCAGTCTCCGCTGAGTCCACTCTTCAAGCACCCGGAGCCATTTTACCTTTGCACAGTCTCAACTTCAAGGCCAGGGTCGTGGTTTTTAAACAAGAGCGGTGAAGACAGGAGGCAGACGTTTTACATGCCGGGCTCCGACTCAATTATGTTGCCGTTAAAGATGAGAAATGTGGGGGCAGAGTAGGGAGCGCAGGGAAACCAGGGGACCAACCTGTGTCTTTTGGCCAGCCTCCAGTGTTTATTTTCTGGCATACAGCAGTTGGGATTCTCCATGTGTATTGTTGGGGCACAGGGAACCACCCACTGCCCCCCAAGTCCCATTGAGGGATGGCCCACTCTATTGTGAGCAATTCACATGCTGGTGAAAAGTTGTGATTGTAATGGTGTGTGACCGGGCTATCTATTGGCCTACTTTGCACCTATTCACAACTCATCAAAAAAATTTACATTTTCTCAATTGGTGCCATTCTCACCTCAAAGCACTTTTTCAGTCCAGAATATAAACAAGCTCCACAAAACAAATGATGAAAGGCATTGTTCCCACATATGCCTCTATTTCAATGAATTTCCTCTTCCCAGCAGGGAACTCTTTCACATGAAATGTGGTGTGGAGATGTGTATTGTCAGAAGAGTCATGGTTTTACCCCACTTGACCAGTCCGTTGGTATAGGCTGCACTCAGCGTGGGACCTAAAGGCCAGATTTTACCGTCATGGATCAATCTTTCCTCGTCTGTAAAATTACCTTTCTTTAGATCTAGGTCTTACTTTATGGAGGGGAGGGGTTCCCTGTTATTCCTCGGAGAAACCAGTTTATTTTCCTCGGTCTTCTGACACTTTAAAAGAAAAATTTATCATCATGAGAACAGAGGGTCATTAGGAAAACTTGAACCTGACTAGTTTCACTATCTGGAACTGTGTGTATATCCAAACTCTGTTTCATGTTCACATTCTAGTTCAGCTTTATTGTTTTTTAAATCCAAGAACTGACAAATTAAATTGGTGTGGGTTTCTGATGGAGGGAGGGAGGGAGTTTGGCTGTTATTCCTGCTAGAGTTGGTGTTTTACTTGCAGTGGGTATGGTAGGAATGCGGTGGTACCTGCGGTGCGGTGGGTCGGGCAGGATGTAACAGTTTGGCGGTGGCTCAGTCCGTTAGGTGCGACAACAGTGAGCGTCAATGGGTCCCGGCAGGGATGTCAATACATGCAACTGGCACGTACTTGAGAGAAAGGGCAGCCATGCTGCAGTTTGTGTAGCTGGGTCCTTCGGCTTCCCATGCCCCCCTTTTGGTATGTTGAGCAGGACACAGTTGAAAGACAGCAAAGAAAAGGTACAGACAAGCTGCCCAACAAAGACCACTCTCTTCCATTGTTTGCACTCTGGTACCAGTAGTAGTTAGTCAATAGCATTGCCGCTCTGAGGTAACTGGACCTAACAGAGAGGCGAGGTGCTGGTGGGGAGAATGTTGTCACTCTCCAAGCAGATGTTAGGCTTGTGTTGGGCATTTACAGGCATTTTGTTGGCTTTTTATTTTGTCAGCTTTTCTTCAGGACAGGTCAGAATACCCAGAGAAAAGCTGATAAAATGGAACGCCAACAAAACGCCTTAAAACACCTAAAAAACGCCTAACCACTGAGAGTATATGTCATGAGTTCTCCAGCTAAGTTTAGCTAGCCGGCTGCGCAGGCTGGCTGGTAAACTTTTGGCCTGATTTTATGTTCTGCCAGGCAGGCTTTAGTGTTTTGCTAGAGAAGTGAGACCAGGCCTGGTATGGACAAACATTGGAGGCCACATTCTACAGCAGCACGGGTCCCAGCAGCAGCCCTTCCCCGCCGGGCTTTGTGTCCCTGTTTGTGGCAAACACACTGAGCAATGTACTGAGGGATAAGGTCAACTAATTGGGGGGCTGGGAGTCTCTGGGTAGGTGCCTGAAAGTCTGCCCGTTCATTTACTCATGAATTTGGAACCTCGCTGATGTGACGTACAAGGAATTGGTTTTGAAAAAAAAGATGAAGATGGAATTCTACCTCTGGCTTGACCACTTAAAACCAGTGTTTTCAAACTCCTTTTGTTCATTTGAGCACCAGTTTTCTGTACAGTTTTCCTTCAGTGAAACTTTAACAATTAAAATGCCGCTCAGTTCTCACTCTAATGTTTCACGCTGGATACCCAGTAGGCTCTCAGTGAAAGCTTCATGCCAAGCCCTTGTCACACCTGTAAGTAAGGTCACTTAGCTGCTGACACTATCCCCTATACAGCTAATATCCCAAGCTTAACAGGTAGTATTTCTCTTTTGATGTTAAAAATCACTGGCTTTTCCTTCCACTTGCTGTCTTCCAAGTGATCACGGAGGTCCTTGTAGTCAGATCCACAAAGTTTAACTTCATTGTTTTGTGTAGTCTTACAAAGACTTTGCTTGTTTGGGCATCCTTTCTGTGGGGAGTCAGGGAAATCCCATAATTACCCTTTCTTCAACCTTGCCCATCTATCTAAGTATTGGCCATGAATAAGTTTCAACAAAGGCAAAATAACTTCAGAGGGATTTTTTAAAGCACCAGTTCCTTCTATGCTACTGAAGAGCTGTCTTTGTGAGGATAGCAGTAAGTTTTGAATTACTGTTGTTTAGCTTAGGATGTCCACTCACCCCTTCCTTTCACTTTCCGATGGGTCTTTTGGGGTCAATTTACCTTCAGTAGACAGTAATTTGATGCACACTTTTGGTCGTCAGCCAATTTCTTGGAAAAAGGAAATGGCGAAGGGCCTTTAAATCAAATGCAAGGGAACATAAACAGCGGGTGGCTTGCGTGAGTAAAGAATAACTTTTTTGGTCAGGTCGCAAAAGTACGTATTAAAGGTAGAGAGCATTGTGAACATCTGTTTCCTGTGTACATAACAAGGGAGGACTTCCTGTGGCAAGGGCGGGTCCCATAATCTATTGGCTGTGTCATCTGTTATTTTAGCAATGAAAGTTTTCCCCCCCTCCCTGTTTACTGCTTCCTGGAAGACCTTATCTAATGTCAAGATAAACAATTTCTATCAGGAAAGATGATGCAAACTTTTGGGCTTTAAAAAGAGTTTGCTGAGTAGTTTGACCAGGTTTTTCTGTCCTTGATTGGGACATAATTTGGATTCTTGCCTGGCATAATTTTGTGGTAAACACGCTGTCTGACAACCATTTGGGGAATGTTTTTTGGCTCCATGCTTCACTGAAAACATCAATAGACACCAACATCCAAAGCTGACACATCCACAGTAGATCCTGTAAACATCCATCAGAACGGACACTGGGGATAATGCATGGCCAGGGAGCCTGCCCGCTGCCTGGGCAAGCTGTTTCATCACAGACCACCATTTAGGGACATTTTTTTTGCTACCTACGTCATTCTGGAAAATTCTCGGAAATCCTAGCCACCCAGTTTGCCTTTGAGGAGTCTGGAGAAAGTTTGCCTTTGTGTGTTGCCCTCCCCACCCCTTCCAACCTCTGTAAACAATCCAGTGCCCTCATTGACTGGCCACTGGACATGTGGAGGGGATATCTTGTTTGTTGGTGCTTCACACACCAGGATGAAGATTTATTTACACATGTGCTCTTCTCCGCTGCTAATCAGGAAGTTTTTGACACCATGGAGGAACGAGGCATTTCCCCCCTAAAGTCCTGTGTTGTTCGTTCCCCACACCTGATACCTAATTGGGGAGGGTGGGCCGGAAATGTGCATGACCGTTGTTCCATATTTACTCGCTTCCCAGGAGTTCATTAACACGTGACAGGGAGTGATTTGTTACCCAAACAAAACTGATCAGCTGGAAGAGAAAAATGATTCTGTGTGAAAATAGTCGCATCATACCCACTGTTAGTACACATTTGTCACAAAAACATCTGATTAGATGTACTGACATTAGTTCTTATAATCTTCACAATTCAATCAGATTGATATCCTTATTTGTGTCCAGCAAAAACAGATAGCTGTAGATAAACCATATTTAGCACTCTGCAGAGGTGGTCTCTGTGGGTGGTAATTGGGCGGCAAATTAATGTAAATATGAGTTAATGAGCCAGAACTTTATCAATTACTTGTGAAGTTCGTGCTTCCTCCCCTTGGTAGGAAGTAGAGGCGGTTCAAACGGTGTTCTACAGGATGTCGTAGGCCACCTCAGGTGCACTCCTGACCCTTGACGAAGTTTAACGAGGCCGTGTTGTTCCTTGCATTGTTGAACTGCTCTGGAGAGGTGCGTCGGCAGGATGCATTTTATAGTTTCCCTGTTCATCTGATTTCCCAGTGGAAGGAGCGTATAGTCACCCTTCAAGAATGCAGCCTGTAGACTGCAGACAAATATTTCAACC